GAGAGAGAGAGAGAGAGAGAGAGAGAGAGAGAGAGAGAGAGAGATGAATATGCAGTAGATTTTCGGTCAAACATGCTATTTATAGAATTGCATAAGAAATACATTATAATGTAAAGTATATTCAGTAACTACTGTACTGTAGTTAACCAAATAAATGATTTATCATGTGCATTTTATGCGAGTACAGTATATTAAGTTTGTATTTATTATAACAAACTATATTTCATTTATAGTTAATATCTAGTTATAAATTATGATTGTTATTATAAATAGTTGCGTAAGTGTAATGAATTTTTATGACGATTATTTGTATTTTTGAGATATTTCTTACGGTAAAGTCTATACCGATTCGCACCGATAGCTCGGGAATGGTATGAGAAATGGCTTTTCCTTATACTGTAAACGAAATAAAACAGTGAGAAAACTGCTTAAAGCCTTTGAGATATATATTTACTGATATTTATATAGATTTCTCTTTCAAACACATGGAGAGAGAGAGAGAGAGAGAGAGAGAGAGAGACCTATAGATAGTTACAGTATATAACAAGATGGGAAATACATTACATATTATACAACATTAAAATCGTTGCCAAACAAACACAATATGCAAACAAATCGCAAACACATATATAATTGTATTGATTACGCGAATGAATTGTTTGCGAGAATTACTTATTTGAAAAGTATTTTTAATTCATTTGTTTGCCAAACAAAATGGGAATACATTTTAAAACTGTGTTGCATTAATGTGTATAACAATGAATATGCTAAAAATGAAAATAATACTGTGTTAACAATAGGCAACATTTCTCACTATATTCAACAACAAATACTGTATTCATTTGGTTATGTAATGTATAAAATTCATTAATATAAGTCACTGAGAGAGAGAGAGAGAGAGAGAGAGATTTTCAAACTATTTTTTATTTTATTTTATATTTTTTCGTTGCATTTTCTATGAATATTTGATGAATCCATTGATTTGAATGACTGTCTAATCATTTATATACTGATGAGAGTTGTATTGGATATCAATCTTATTCTCCACGGAAAGCGAGCCTACAGTCAAACCCTGTTATATTTTGGCATAGCTTAAACTCCTATCTGTTTAACCATAGTTAAAGCTTTTGATAGATTAATCTAGTTTAAAAACTTGGACCATAAGTATGAATATAAAGTTAAATTCATGCACACAGGATATAAATCTCTGCCCAACCCTTTCGTTCACATATAACTGAGTGAAGGGTTAAAATATTATTGAAAAACATGATAAAACACACAACAAATTTTGGTGGCATAGGATAAGCCAAATATTGATCACCCGATCATATCATCTGAATTTTTACCGTGAAATACATACATATCTATCGCTTCCCGTTTAGTCCCTGTATATCATGTTATATACGTGTATATATTGTATATATAATATATTTATAGATTATATACATATGTATTGATGAATGAGTTAATGAGGACTTTGAAGGCCCGGAACTCAAGAGGAATGGATAAGAAATGAAGAAATAAAACAAATCATCACTCGTTAGGAAAGAGAGATAAAAAAAATTATTTTAAATAAATTGAATATCAATTGTATGGCGAAATGCATATCACAAATGCATTATACAAATGGCTGTGAATATCAGTAATGCTGTAATATATGAATAAGATTTTTTTTTGCATTACTAAAGGACCACGTATTGATTGATTGCATAATGTAATGCATTATATAATATATACGTTATATTCAGCGATAAGTTATACAATAATCTCTCAAACAATTTATTTATTTCGCTCTGATTTTTAATGGTATTGTCAATGACTGGAAATCTCTCTTTCCTAACGAGTGATGATTTGTTTTATTTCTTCATTTCTTATCCATTCCTCTTGAGTNTCTCTCTCTCTCTCTCTCTCTCTCTCTCTCTCTCATTCAAGAAAATGATTTTATTTTTCTTTAGATTTAATATATATTATAACGAAAAATACTTAAAAATCGCTATAAAATGTGTGCGAAAATCGCTTTTCATTTCTCATTGCAAATGTATATTACATTAGATAAGACTTAACGCCTTTAAATGTATTGAATAAGTTATTCAATAGATTGTTATATCGATTATATAAAGTTGAAACATTTTTGTACCATGAACAAATTAAACACTACCTAATATAGAAAAATACACATACATAATACATTAAAAAGCATGATGGAATTTAATTGTAATAATTATACCAAGTTAACAATAATCAAATTTATTTATTTTACCCAGGTGGAGAGTGGCGATTCTGTAATGTCTGTGGCCAGCGAGCTGGCTGAAAAGACTAGATCTACCAAGTTATACGGCGGTGACATAATACAGGCCATTCAGGTGTTACAGATATTGGTCCAGAAAATGGGCGCCAGTGTTGGCGACATCAGCGAAGAGAAACGGCACCAATTGGTCAAGGATTTGATCCAGGTATGTTTTTCTGATTTGCCTATTTTGCGCCTAGGTTATTTTCAATATGTTTAAAATTGTTTTATTGTTATTTTTGCCAAAATATTTTGATTTTTTAAAGTGTTGTTTTGTAGGGCTAGGGATGAATATTGTCTGCAAAAAACCATTAATATAAATTTGCATTGAAATAGCGTTCGGTATTTGATGTGAAAAATGAAATTTTAATTAAAATCAATAGAGTTTTAAGTGAAATATTTTTCAATATCTTTTATATGGAAAAAATCACTGTTTTTTGTTGTTGTTATAAATTCTTTAAAATATTAATTGAATTGTTTTGTAGTCTCTCTCTCTCTCTCTCTCTCCCCTACTGTATAACTAATGTATTGAATGAATGAATAATCTTTTGAGTGCTATTCCTATATAAGAATATATATATATAAAACTCACAGAATATTCTGTGTGTATAAGTGTTGAGAAATAAAACGTCAGGAATATTCTTATTAATGATTCTGTAATACAAACACTCTTATGGGGTATAAGAAATGAATTGAGATTTTTTTCGTTGCCTTTTATTTTCAGCAATTTTTTTGCTACAAAATAATTGAATTTTTTGATACTTTAGGGTAAAAACCAAATGCTTTTGTTATAGTATTTTAAGCTTGAGTTTTTTTTGTGTTATTATTTTTTTGTGCACAATGTATTGTGTGGTCGCGTGTGTGTGAACACAATCTACAAAGTTTTTTAATGCAAAAAACAGTTTTTTAATTTAGATTTTCATTTTTTCAATCTTTCGCTTCAATAATAATTTTGATATTAATTTTTTTATCAAATATTAAATATTTTTGCTGACTATCTCTATGGATGGAAAAGTCTCTCTCTCTCTCTCTCTCTCTCTCTCTCTGTATATAAATTCTTATCGTACCTTCAATTCCCTCTTCGAAGAAAATATTGCCAGAAATAAAAAACTATTACAAATATTACTTTTTTCAGTGAATGCAAAAATTCTCTCCTCTTTTGATAATAAACACAAGTTTTACTCAAAATAAATACATTAATTGATAGAAAACGAAGAGTGAAAACCTATTAAGAGGTACACAACTATAGCGATAAAAAATGCGAACAAAATGATAACTTATGTAATGTATTACAAGTGATGAGAGAGACTGCTATCCATTAGCACTGTTCAAGCAATTGGTGACAGACTTAAAACTTTTGCTCTCATTTTTACTTTTATTCATAGCTAACATATGATAAAAATCTCTGTTTAAAAATATTTTCCTTTGATTTGTTTCCCATTTAAACGAAAAACTTGTGATTAAAGTTTGTTTAATACAATAAGAAACGTGATTTGTATATATGCCGATTTTTCAATTAACTAAAAACAGAACACAGGGTTAGATATACATTAAGTTGCCTACACAACCGCCTGTTGCACACATACACATGTATGATTACCTGTCGGACATACAGTCGGTTATACGTAAAACACGGGTCACCTGCAAGTGTCACGGCGTGAGCGGCTCCTGCTCTTTGGTCACCTGCTGGCAACAACTCTCCAGCTTTCGTGAGGTATATCTCAATACAATATCAATGCAACACAGCTATCGCTTAACACACAAAACCAAACCAAACACATAAAACTGTCCCATAAATGTCTGGCCCTATAATAGACGCTCTACTTTCACGTCTTGTTTATCGGCGGACCTCAAAAGCCATTCACAAAAATTCCCTTTTCTCGGTATTTCAAACAAATTATGTTATTCTTTGCACTAAACATATATACGGCTAAAAAGTTAATTGATTTTTGTCTTGTGTCCCAATCTATATGTAATTCAACGGATGTGTTGGCGGACAACGTGTGTATGTGTTGTATGATTANGGCGAACACATCGTCTCTCTCTCTCTCTCTACCTCCCGCTCCGTATCTATGTCTTGCTATTCATCTGTCTTAACGTACAATTGATTTGTTTTAAGTTTCAACAAAAACAAAGCCTAAAACCACACACAAAACACACACTCAATACACTAATACTCCCGACAAACGCAAAATACACACGTATTTCTGTATTTCTAATGGATTTTGTTTTTGTTTCCTGCGTTTAATGTGTGTTTCCACTCAATATATATGCCATAACTCTCGATGGTCTGGTCCTCCGCTAACACCGCAAACGAAACCATCACTAAAAAAAATCTGCACTAAAAATACAAAACCCAAAACCAAACCAATGGCCTAAAAGGTCGGAGACTTTCTCAAAGACAAATACGACGGCGCGACTGAAGTGAAAATAAATAAGAGATCAAAACTGCAAATACGAAACTCCCGGTACAGCAAACCCACGACTGAGGACCTGCTATACATGGATGAGAGCCCCGACTATTGCATCGGCAGCGGAGAGACGGGCTCTTTCGGCACTCGCGGCCGCTCTTGCAATAAGACATCGCCCGGAACTGATGGATGTAATCTCATGTGCTGTGGGCGCGGGTATGTCAACCTCTCTCTCCATTTTATTTTTATGTATTTTTCCACCATATTCTAAATGCAGTATAAGTTAACGTTAGATTTATTTAGTACAATAGATTTCAATCATTATCAAAATATTAATGTCTTGTATTTTAAATATAAAGTAATATTCAAAATAATATTATTCTTATGAATGGATGAGAAAACAAAAACACAGAGAAAACGAGAGAATAAATTCTTGTTTGACATTTGGATAAATAATAAATATAAATTTAAATGAATTTATATAAAGGGCTCGTGTTTTGTATGCGATTTTTATCCCGAGTTCAACTAACTCTTGTGCCGCAAAAATATGTGCGGAAAATAAATAAATATCTATTTTTATTGTGTGACTGAGAGAGAGAGAGAGAGAGAGAGAGAGAGAGAGAGACTCTTAACATTAGGCATACATTTAATTCATACCTACAGTGAACTCTCCCCTAATAGTGAAGTCTTGGTGTGAATGATGTGTGAATTAAAGCGACTGAATATTGTGAGCAAATATTTAACAAATTAACGTAACAGCAAATTTCCTATTCTAGTTGTGATGTATATTTGCATTTAATTATATACATTATACGCAATCAATATTCTGTATGACATAATATACTGTACATATGTTGTAATAAATATGATATATAGTATACACTATATTTCCAGTGCACTATATCGAGGGCACACTGTATGCGAGAGAGAGAGAGAGAGAGAGAGAGAGAGAGACGATGTGTTCGCCACCAAAATAATAATATTATGATTTGTCTCTATATTTGTCTACAGATATAACACACATAAAACGGTGGTTAAGGAGCGGTGCAACTGTAAGTTTCACTGGTGCTGTTATGTCGAGTGCAAGACCTGTACAAAGACCATGGACATTCACACATGCAAATAGACATATATAAATATACATATTTACAATATATTCATGGTAATATTATTATTATTATATAATATTCAACTTTATAATATTCAACTGCCAGTGTGCCAGTACTCCGAGCATTTCACAGCCACACGCCATCACATCACTAGTATTATCACAACCCTCTCATCCCCATTGCATAAGTCTATTGTGTCTCCAATACTATCACATCTCATACAATACAATCCAATCTACAACTAATATAATGCTGTTTTTATATCGATGTTTTCCTATCATAATTATAATTATTCAATTGATATTTTAGAATTAATGCCAGTACAAAATAATAATGAAAATTAACTTGTTTAAACAAAATTCCTAAATTATTTGACAAATATTTTTTAATTATATAAAGTGTGTGAAAAATAACGATTGTTTGTTTGTTGGAAAACTTTACTGAAGTACTTTTTAAACAAATTCTCGTTGAAATTATTACCTAGAGATTTAAATCATGGTAAATTTAGATATTAACCCTGGTGAGAGTTGTTCTGAAACTATCCAGATAGATTAGATAGGTTTCAAACAATACAAACCAATTTTTGGACACGCTTTATATAATGCATAAAATATATACTTAAAGTCTCATCAATACGTGTATATGAATAAGAATTTGAAAATAAATTTGCAAACAAAACAAAAATAAAAGTGAAGTGAATTCACATTTTTATGAATTCATTTTTAGACAAAATTTTTCCTGTTTTATAATTATTCTTACATTTTTTGCTTTGAAATTCTCTATCGTTTTTGTACTAAAAACTTAAAACACATATATATTATATAATTTATATATTATATTAACTATATTTATACACACATTAGCAAAATGGGGAGAAAAAACAATTTTTCACTTTTTTGTGTGAAAATATTTGAAAAATATTTTTCGCTCATTTTGCTGGTGAATGCGATAGTGTTTTCTGTGCACTCATTATATAACATATTATCGTTTATAACAACACTTTAAGGGATTTTTCAAAATGTGAATAATGTTTCTTAACATCTGTTATGAACACAACAATCAGAATATAATGAATTAAAAATGCAAATTAAATTCTTGCAAACGATTTGCTGTTTAGCGCTAAATGCCGTCAGTTTTGCATAAGATATTAGGAGAGAGAGAGAGAGAGAGAGAGAGAGAGAGAGAGAGAGACCAAAAGACGAGAGATATTGAATGGTATACCTCGGGTCCTGAATATAAACACTAAAGACTGAGAGTGTATTGTATTGTATATTTACCATCACATAAGTAGCTGCCGGTGCGGCACTTATATCATGAACACATTTATACACAAACAATAATAATTATAATCAGTTATCTCTCTCTCTCTCTCTCTCTCTCTGCAATCACTTCTTGATTTGATTTCTATTATCCAATTACTATTATATCACTCGTTCTCACTCTTGAATTGGAAATAATTATTTATTTAAATCCAATGACACATTGCTTTAATAGCATTTATTTGTTATAAGCCATACGAAAACAACTATTAATTTTTAATTTTAAACAATTAATTTGTTAATTAAATATTATTCATTATTCTAATGGCAATATTAAATTGAATTTCTATTCAAACAAATGCTAATATATTGAAGAGTAGCTTACGATTGCATTTTTGATACACTTATTCATTCAATACAATATATTGCTGTAAATTACATATAAAATCAATGTTTACCATCGGCTCTCTCTCTCTCTCTCTCTCTCTCTCTCTTATTCATCGCAAAAATACATGAATTTCTATTGAATTTCTTGCGATTTTATTCCCAATACGTGCCGTATCTATGCTCTGATGCACTCCTGAGTGCACTTATTTCGGTATTAAATGCATTTGTGTCCAGACATTGCATACAACACTGTTTTTCACCATATTTTTTCACTGATAACCATTCAAATTATACATTAAATACATTCATCCATGTATTATACATGTAATGTATGTTTATTTTATATATTTATATATGGACGGCATGATTATCAGCCATATTATCCAGGTTCAACCACTGGTGAAATATTATTAACATGATTATTCAATTCTAATCTATACAGTATATATAGTTTTGTTTTATATCCGTTTTTATGTTGTTGATTTATTTATGTGTTTTTCGTTTTTATCGTGATAAATTTTCTATATATTATTGCCAAACATTGATTTGAGAAATGCTTAGCAATCATAATATCTGTTATTTTAAATGTGTTTTAAAACTCGTATAATAAATAACAAATATTTTATATAATATTTTACGGCATTTTGCAAAATAGAAGTCAATTTTAAAATCAATTTTTCGCCGTTTTTATCATAAAATGTATATCTAATAAACGAAAATTTACATTATATTCAGTCAATAAATTTTGTTATTAAATATATTTATTATGAACAGACATTTGGATAGAGGGAGGGAGAGAGTGAGTGGTTGAGTGACAAAAACAGTGCAATTTAGTCGTAAAAACAATTTTTAACAAAATAAAGAGAGAGAGAGAGAGAGAGAGAGAGAGAGAGAGAGAGATTGAAAAATATATTGTAATATCAATAGCACATAGATTTTCAGTGCCGTTTAAGTGAAATTGATTTTATGTTGTTTATGCAAGGAGATTTATTTGAGCATGGTGTGTGTGGACCCTTCACCAAACTGATAGCCGTACACTAACTGTACATTTTCCCACTCCTGGCATAACTACTGATATATGCTGTTGTGTACGGAAAAGCTGTTCACTCTATTTGTAATACTATTATTTGCGATGACATGAGATATAACTTATTACAAATACCATATTATAAATGTATTTCTTTGTTCACTTAGAATATTATGTATTATTCCTATCGATAAACAGTAGCATTAATACCGAGAGTGTAAAAAACTAACACATAATTTATACTCTTAAACGCAAATTGAGGAAATGTATGTACAATGGATAGCATATCGTAGACATACTATTAGTACACTATACAGGCTATACATGTGCGACAATGGGCTGGCATTTAAACGCCATATAATGTCATCGATTGTAATGTCAGAGTTAGGCTATTATACGGTTTTAAAATATTATACTTAAAAAATACACGACTCTATTATGTCGGTTAGGGATGTGTTATGTATGTATGCGGTGGACAGTAGTGCTGTCTCAACGATAATAGCCCTACGAGTGCTATAATATATGGCAATTGTTGTTGTGGTGCACAGAATATTCTTTAGATATACCACCAGTATATCTATTTAATAGACATGTATTATAAATATATTTTTAAAAATCTAACACATAATGCCTGTGTATCTCTATATATGGCATACAATTGAGTTCAAAATAAAAATACCACAAAACGCTTCCACATCTCGTTTATTATTGGATGCAAACCATAGGACTTAATGCAGTCATCACTCACTTTACTCGCCGGCCATCCGTTCACTCCATTCGTTAAAAAATGTTTTCCTCTTTTTTTCTGTGCGAATAAATGTTTAAAATTTTTATTTTCGCCGCAAATGTTGTGTGAATTTTAAAGAAGTCCAATGAATACATAGACACACATGCAATGTATGTATGCATT